CGCGCGCCGCACACGACATGGCGGCCGCGCATGCGCGGCGCTGCGCGGGGACTCCCTGCGTGCACGCGGCGCGGCCACAGGGTGGCGCGCTACTCGGCATCAGGTCCCCCTGTTGTGGTTTAGAACACTGGCCAAAAGCGAGGCATCCATAATACCTGCTCACTTAGTATAGTGGTGGCAGTCCCTGCCTAACATGCAGGCGACCGGGGTTCAAGTCCCAGGTGGGCTGGAGCTGAGTAAGACAATGCAGGAGAGTAGCTGCTCCAGGCCCCGAGCATGGTGAAGCAGGTAGAGAGGAGAGGGCGGGGGCAGGCAGGTAGAGAGGAGAGGGCGGGGGCAGGCAGGTAGAGAGGAGAGGGCGTAGTGAGGGTGCAGAGACTCCCACAGCCTGTGGAGTCACGTCCCCACACCAGAGCAGGCAGAGACATCAGGAAGGGGGCTGTGTCCAGATGTAGACCCATCAAGGAGGCCATCAAAGATCCCACCCTTGGGGAAAAACAAAACAAAACCAGAAAGGAATAAAGGAAAAGAAGAAAAAATTGTAACCAGTGCACCCACTGTGAAAATTAGGGTGACCTTATAGCTGGCAAACCTTGTTTATGATGTGGAAAGGCAGAGACATTTTTATTTTTACTGGCTGAGAGAGAATATGGCAGGTTTATTTTAATATCTGTAGTTTATATCAAAGTAATAAACTACTTATGAAGATAATTAAAAACTTTTTGTAACTTTTTTATAATTATCAATATAAGAATGTAATAACATTTTACATATTATTAAAATACAATGTAATCGGTTTCAATAYATTATTAATAATAGATTTTTCATATATTACTAGAGGTTTTTTAACAGTGTMTTAGTAACATCTAGTGTACGAGTTGCACATAATGTAATTAGATTAATACAAAAATACATGAAATCACGAAGGGGCATAAATCAAATACAGTTCTGAGGAAAACAGAGAAGTAGATGCTATAACAAAAAACAGTATAGAACACTAATGAGAACTTAGCAAAAGCACAAAACAGTCAGCAAAATAATTAAAAATACAAAATTAAAAAACTAGAAAAAACCATAAACATGACAACTGTGCATACCCTGAGGACAGAAGTTAAAAGTCTACCATGATAAAAAAGATATATCTCATTAGAGGGAGACTTTTACAACTACTAAATTGAAGATGACACATACGCACTTATAAAGYTGTAATATCGTTTATTTCTGTGCTCATGTATAGTAGCAAGCGTATAGAAAGCAGTGACAATAGTAATATTACACCACAGTTACTGTAGAAATACGTACTAATTTAAACCAAAAGAAAATACATTAAAAAGAACAATTCCCCTCATCTCCAATGCTACAATAAACAAATACCTCCTCTATACACACCGGTCTATGGGGTTTTACTTCTAAACCTTTTTCAACCATCAGTTTCCATCTCTGCTCTCTGGTTCCATGTCTGTGCCCTTTTTTATGGCTCCTTTCCCATGTGATTCCCTCGGCCCTGCCCAGCTCTGTTTGCAATGTGTGGTCGGTCACTGCTGGGTTCTGTCTGGGATTTCCAGCACACAGGGAGGGCTCAGTGTCAATGAATTTCTATCCCAATTMRTGTCACTGGCAGTAGAGATCACAATGCACACCGGGACAGGTTCCAGTGKTCTACACTCACCCCCTCCCTGGGAATTTTGGGCCATTTTTGGGTCCCTTTGTGGGAGGGCACCCAGCGGGACCCCACTCGTTCCCCACTCACCTGCTCCTGCAGCGCAGCGGGGCTGTCCCAGGGACATTGGGGTGTCACAAATGGCATCAGAGCTCCCACAGCTCCACCCCCTCCCCAAGCCTCGGTACCTTGCTCCTGCCGTACCTGCCCACCTCGCCTGAACCCATGGCACCCAGCCCCACCTTCATCCTTCCCGACAGTCTTTCYAAAGCCTCGGGAACAGGCACTGGGCTGGTTCCACAGTGCTGGACCCAGGGACAACTTTAATGTTCTTGGAAACATCTGAATGCCACACAGGAAAACACAGACTTGGAGTTGAAAAAGTGATTTTATTTCATATTTCTCCAGAGTCCCTCGCAGAACTTCCACATTGCTGAAGGAAAACAATCCAGATCAGACAAGGTTCTCCATCAGGAATGAAACAAACCCTTCACTGTGGTTGCACCCGTCCTTYGGAGCTGCACTACAGTCCTGGCACTTCATCCTTGCACTGACAGAGAAAACTGCATGGTTTAAAGAGGGCTGAGATAAAGAAAGATTACATTAGGAGGACAGGAGTGCCACAGATATAAAATATATTAGAAGCGTCTGTAAAGGTTTCTTTCCATATACAAAATAACTTTTCCTTTTTGAGGGTGATTTACATTTTTTTTAATTGACAGTCTGTACACATATAGACCCTTTCACAAGAAATCACTTAAAAATGCTGGTTTGCCAAGCAAAAAGGAGTCACTAAACAAACCATCAGAGTCCTGCAAAGTCCCAAGGCTTTGTTCAGAGTCCAGGGTGCCAGCCACTCTTCAGGAGCAGCCCTGCCTTGGGAGTGATGCTCTGCTCCTGATGAGTTTGGGCCCTCAGAGGATCCCATAGTCACCTTGCCAACCAAATCAGAGCACTGGGTGCCCCGTCCAGTCCTTTCCTGAACAGCTCATGGAGGGTGCCTTCATCACCTCCCTGGGCAGCCCTACCTGACCATCCTTTCCATGAAGAAATGAGTCCTCATGTCCAGCCTCAACCTGCCCTGGTGCAGCTTGAGGCTGTTACCTCTGGCCCTGTTGCCTGTCACGCAGGAGGACAGGCTACTCCACATCCTGGCTACACCTCCTGGCAGGGAGACAAGACACAGATTATTTGCAGCTTTGTTCTAGAATATGTAGTGCCCAAGTCACACTGAGTGTGCTATTTTTATAGCCTCAGTCTCCTGAGTTCTGGGAGCAGAAAAAGTCTTCCATGAAAGAAACAGCTGACTGACAGTTGTGCACTCAGCAGCCCTGGTTTGAGTTCTGCTGCCCGAGGGCACTGAGCTGCACTTACCTTCATTAACAAGAATGTGTCAATGAAAAGGAACTCCCACACAAGGTGGGTGATGTGTTGTGCCAAGGAGATGCATGTGCAGGTAGGGCTATCTATGGCTTTTAGGGTGTCAGATTTGTTTGGCTTCCTTGCTGTACTGCTCTATAACGTAAGGCAAGAAGATCAGCTTTAAAATTAAGACTACTGCATGTCTAACATCCCCCTGCCGTTACTCACCACAAGAACAGACATAAGAATTAACAGCCTATGCAGCTCCCAAAATCTTGTACAAAAACAGATCAGTATGTCCTTTGGGCAGTCTCAAAAATCTGCAAATTCTTCTTTCACCTCTCAATTTCAACAGGTACAGTCACATCCCATTCCTGAGGCTTGTGTTGAGCAAAATCACACACAAATGAAGTTCATGCTCACCGTCCTTGAAATTACTATTCAAAATCCATTCAACTTCTGTTTGGATTCCTTGCCACGATCTCTTTTGTGTCCCAAGACATATTGGCAGTGCAAACGCAGAGTAGGCACGATGAGACCCCCGGCCGCCCCTTCCCCAAACACCAGACATCACCCAGGCATTACTGGAAGGCCTCCGAGGTGTTATCTGCATGCACAGGACTCCACTATCATGTTGGGGTATACCTTCAGAACCACGTTCTTGTTTTCGTCCAAGAATAGGATGCTGAGAGCAGACATTTTGTCAGGAACACAGCAGGGCTCAGGAATGCCAGGAACGACTCCCACAGCTCTCACGATGCTCTGGATGGTGGCGTGGTTGGATGGCTTCATGGCCTGCAGGAGAAAGACACGGCAGAACATCAGACTGCACCCGCACTGCAATAGATTCACACTCTCTGCAGTAAAAGGGCTTTGTTGAGGGGCCCTGAGGAGAGCCCCCAGAAGGGACATCAGCCTGCCCTCCACCCTTTCCTTGTGCACTGGAGCTGCCCTGAGCCAGCCGCCAGGAATGCCAGTCTGGGCTGCTTCTTTGGGCCCTAGAAGCCAGTGTCCATCTACCGCCTTCAGCTCCCTACTGGGATGCAATCTCGGGGTCCCTGTGGGCTTTGGCTGCCCAAGGGGTACCTCCGGGCTGGGGTGGTCTGTCCTGAGTGATCTGAGTTACCCACAGGCTGTAACTCAGTTTTACAGCTCATGTGGCAGGGAGGCAGGGGACATGTGGACAGGCTGTGCTGGTAGGGGAGCCAAACAAACAACATTTGTGGACTGGGAAGTTTGGGCGGTGGAACACAAAACACAGCAGGAAAAAAACAAAAGCGGGTAAAATTCGTGTGAAGGAGAGAACAGGAGCTAACTGAGATCCTATTTCCCATAGCCAGTAGCACTGACACCAAAACCAGGGCTCCAAATATGCCATGGAACATCTCACTCTGAGTGTTCTCCCTCAGATATGGAATGCAGTCAGTCAGACTCTGGCACAGCCATGGAAGGCAGGTTCGTAGCAGGGGAGGCTGAGAGGGGCAGCAGGAGAAGAAACCTCGGACCTGCCTCCACACGGCCAAGTGTGAGCACGCCTGGCTGAGGCCAGCCACAGTTGCCAAGTTGCACATGCCCTAGGGAGCCTGGCTGCCTGCGGAACATCCTCACAGCTGAACGAGGAGCCAGGCACTCCATGGCACTCAAGAGTTCTCCTTCCTGACACGACAGGGTGTGCCAAGCCTGCAGCTCGGCGCCTGCAACACCCTGACACCCACACAGTGACAGCACCCAGACCAGCTCACTGCAGTCAGGGCAGAGATAAGGCCTGAAAATCTGCAGCTGACAGCTGGGGCTCATCTGTTCTTACTCACCCAACAGGATGGTACCTCCAGGAGATGGCTCTCAGCAAGGGAACATCATAAACCCACAGGCCCTGCTCAGTGGGCCAGAGGATCCTGCTGCAAACATCATCTGAGCTCTGATGTGGAGCTTTAAAACCTCAGACTCTGCAACTGGAGGTGGTGAGGCCAGTCACCTCCTGCTCTGAGGAGAGGAGCCTGCCCTGCTCAGCTTGCTCTGTCAGGGTGCCATCCCCTGGGTACAATCTGTCCCTTGCTCAGCTTGCTCTGTCAGGTGCCATTTCCTGGGGTACAATTTGTGCACCCATCCCTTTCGGAGCATGACTCCCTTGGTTCTATAAGCCACCAAAACCCCACAGATATTTTGGAAGCAACCCCTCCAGCCTCACTATGGCAGGAATAAAGAGGGAAGCACATGCTGCAGGTGTGACTTGTGCATACCCCCTCATTTTAGGGCAGCCTCAAATCCCGCATCCTGCTCTCAGTCTCAGTAGCCTGCAGGGCCCCACACTACCAGCAATGACACCAGACATTCGCAGTTCACCTACCTGGGTCACAGGGCTGGGAGCACATCAGCCTTGTTTTATGGCAGTTTGGGCTCTGGACAAAAAACTGGGAGCCATGKTTTTTTTTATTTACCTCTCAAGTTTATTTTGTTACCCGATGTTGTCACCAGAGCCCGCTGCTGCACAAGTGGCTCCTTGACCCACAGAGCCATATCCTGGCACTGGCTGCCTTTCACTGACATGGGAAACAGAATGCCCAGGATCCAGTAACAGAGAGTGAAAAAGCATCAGTGAGAACCATACCTTGGGAATTGGGAACTGGCATTCCCCAGAGCAGTAATAAGCGTCAAAGGACTTGGGGGAAATAATCCACTCGCTCCAGCCGATGTCTGCAAAATCCACCTTGAGGTAGCGCCGGGCGCAAGACCTCGGCTCGTTCCACTGCTTCCTCCTTGCCTTCTTCAGGGTTTGCTCATCGAAATGCAGAGTCTGGCTCTTCTGCAGATGACTCTTCCTCTGCTTTTTCTTGCTCCTAGCTCTCTCTGCTGACTGCGGCTGGAAGCTCTTATAGGGTTTGCTGCCTACCCACATCTTGCGCTCCCCGTAAGGCTCCTTGGCTCCTGGCAGCTCGTTGTTCTGGAGCGGCAGCAGGGTGTCTACGGAACGTTTTCTGCGGCCATCCCTCAGGCTGCTCCTTACATGCCTTCCTGCCTTGGGAAAGGCCCTGGGTCCTTGCAGAGTAGAGACAACGCTGTCCAGTTCCGAGATAGCGGAATCGTTGGCGTAAATCAGGATGTAGGGCTCATGGGATGCCCTTTGCCAGGGCTGGTGGCTGCTCAGATCCATTTGAACACCCATCAGCAATTGGTTGTTCTGCTTTGCCTCGTACAGGAGCTCAGTGATATCCTTCCACTGCCAGGAAAGGCTCTCCTGGTAAGCAGAGGAGACATTGATAAGGAAATGCCCCAGGCTCTGAGTCGGGCTCCCAGCTGAAGGATAGGTCCAAAGTGAAAGATTAATCTGAATGCCAGGTTTGCCATGCCTGTGATGAGAGCAGCCACTGGACTGGGAGCAGTTCCACTTCACCTGCAGCAGGTCACCGATGTAATAATGCAACGAAGCTGACAAGACGTTTTCAGACTCTGTGAGCGATGTCAAGTTAAAAACGTACATCTCCTGGCCTCTGGGGCGCCCTAGTATAAAAACAAGCACTTAGGCAAGAATTTGGGCATTTGAAAATGTCATCCAGAAAACACATAGGCTGGTCAGACAGTGTTTTGGCTAAGTCAAATACTCACCATGTACCTGAAATTTCCCTGCAGAATAATCAATTACACTGGGAACATTTAGGCAGTATATCCAGGACACTTCATCATTTTTCATGCCAGAGTTGGAAGGCATTTACTAATACAGCTGAAGGCACACACRTGGGACCACAGCATCCTCAGTAGTCCCAAGAAAGCCAATACAAAAATCAGATTTGCAGGGTAGCAGGGTGGCACAGCCCCTTGGGTCACTGCAGGGACAAACAAGCCAAGGACAACCCTTCTGATGCCTGGGATGTGCCTGTGCCATGAGGTTCAGGAGGCTGCCCCAAGCACAGGTACCTTGCGCTAACCCGGAGATGAGCCCTGACACAGGCTGGGCTGGGAAACAGAGGGGTGACTCTAACCCCCAGAACATGTACCAGCGCCAGAGGTTCAAAAATTTGGGCTCATTGGCCCAAATCATAGYTTAATGCCTTTCAAGTCCCTAAAAACTGCCAGGATACTGCCACTTGCACTGTGCTGCTAGCGGTGCAGCAAAAAAAAAAAACCCAAACCAAAAAAACATGCAGAAAAAAAAGTTGCAGTCTCCAGCCTGAATGTTTTTAAAGCTCTTGTTGCAAACATAGTCCTGATGTTAGTGGTGCTCAGAGGGGCCGGCATTTGGCCTGGACTGGTTTCCGCAGGCCGCTGGCAGCTGGGGAGGTGCTGCGTTCTCCATCTGCGCACCACAACAAAGAAAAAAAAGGCCTTGTGAAAGGCAGGAGAAAGTAACTCCAAACCCACAAGAATTGGCCTAGGGGCAGGTGTAACACCTGAAATTACTTGAAATTCAGTCAATAAAAAAGAGTTTAGGGTAATTTCTCCCTGTATAGCTTTACTATAACACCATTAAGAGACCTTCCAATTAAAAGTCAAGATTCATTTGCAAGACACGTTCCTTAGGCCCTGCTAGGATTGAAAGTGTTTTAGAAGCAAACCTTGTCCACATTGGAGTCTTTTATTCTTGCAGTCTCTTTCCTTTTTCATGCTGTATCTCCCCTCCAGATCCTGAGCTGGGCAGCGATCAGCACACAGCACACCGCATAAGGGCAGTGCTGGGGCTAAGAAGGGTTTTAACCTTATTTCTGCCAGCCACGGGTCAAGTGTCTGGCAGGAGGAAAGGACAGGACAGTCCTGCACAGCCACTGCAGGGACAGGAGTGCAGCCTCAGGGAGGGTTCCCRTGCCAGAACCGCCTGGGTGTGCTGCTGCAGCTCACATCCACCGAGCTGCTGCCTGTGTGTCTGGTAGAGCCACGGGGGATGGAAAACACTCACTGCTGGGCACCCAGAGGTGATGAACTGCAGAACCACTCACTGCTGCCACAGGGGACAGAAAACACTCACGGCTGCAGTACCCACAGGTGAAGAACTGCCAAAGACCTCTCCAGAGCAGCACAAGGACTACCAGTGCCATCCCAGAAATGTCTGGCAACAAAGAGAGGAGCTGCCACAGAAAACACAGGTTGACCATGCCTTGATCCAAACAAACAACATAATCAGAGCAGTTAGGCCCAAGAGAGAACCGTGTTCTTCAGCTAGGAACAGAGATGACTCTGATCTGACAACAGATCCTACAAGCTTTTGGTTTCACCACACAGCACTCCAGGCTTTCAAAAGTTTTTTCTACTGGGTTACCTGGGTGATTTGGGACAGGCCTTTCCCATGTGCTGCAGAAGCAGAAAGCCATGCAGAGGAAAAGCAGGGGCAGAAAGCTTCACAGCTACATTTGAGAGCTGTGTTTCAGAAAAGGAAGAGTTTTTCTCCAGCAAACTGGAGTCAGACTAAATTGCAAAGGTAAACTGCAAATGAAAGCACTGAAGGTTTGCCTCAAGGCCTCTTGCTGGAGGAATCCTCTTGCTGCTGGAAGTTCTAGGGGAACTTCTGCTCCTAACAGACAAAAAGCTGAGTCCTCAAGGCGCTGGCAGAGGGAATGGTAAAATATGAAGAGGTAACAGCAACGTCACGTAATAAAATAACTGATGCAGTCCCACTAGGGACAAGGGAAAGATCGCAGGAGACCGAAATTTGGGGCCAAGGAGTGCAGAGTCAAAGCAGAGGATCTCAAGACAAAGCATCTTGAAAGAGGAATACTGCTGGATGTGCCATTCTCACTGCAGGGCTCATCAGGCACAAGGAAGAATTCAGAAAATGCCTTTCCATTCCAGCCACCATCCTGAGGAACATCTGATATAAAACACCTTTCTGCCATCAATAATCACACAAAATAAACTGCTGCTGCTGCCAATGGCAAGAGAAAKGCAACAGCTAACTGGTTATATCTTTTGCATAACTACTTATTAAAGTGTCAAAAAACTTTTAAAACCAATTGATTGCTTTRGCACTTGATCTGTCGAAGTATTGGAGGAGGAGGAGGGAAGGGATTAGCGAGCAGTGTGTTTATAGGTCTGCTGCCACCCAGCATCAAGTGAGAGTATAAATATAACAATAAAAAACAGAGATGGGATTTCAACAAACATCATTCTAGGTTTAGAACAATAAATGGCTTAATCAGATAAGCGTAGCAGAGAACATATTGGTGGGACTATTAACGACCTCCCCTTTGTGGGGGGGGGGTTGAAGTTATAACCTCCTCCCTTTTGGTGAGGGAGTGTTTAATTCAGAGACAGTGATGTACAGGAGACTTTATACAGCAAACAAGTCATTTCAGAAAGACAAGAGAGATCCTCAGTAATAGCAGCTAAGGAGTCTCAGCTCTCCATCCTCCAAACCTGGGGTACTGACCCCTCTAAAGCCTCTCCTGGGGACACAAACACCTGCAGGGTTGAACCCTAAGACACCAAAGCCACTCCGTGCCTCACTGTGTTTGATCTCTGCGCAGAGCCGCCTTGTAAAACACATTGTTGCCTTTGAAGAAGCAGAAGTGATGACCCACAAAGAGACCTAAAGGAAGCCTGCCACCCAGCTCTGTTTCCTGGGACAGAAAGAATTGAGGCAAGTCACAGAAACTCACAGATAACTCTCAGTTTTACTGACACACACTTGCCCAAGGAAAAGCCACTGGGTCAATGCAACAGTGTAATGCAAAGGAAGAGACYGGCAAATGGGCCTCTGCGTGTGGCATGACAGCTGTCTCACACATAGCAAGGTTCTGGGATGCACAGATTAGGGAAGGACATGCCAGAAACCATTTAGGTTCTGGCAGTTCCATTTAGCCCTTGCAGAGTTCACATGCACTAAAAGCAGAAGCGGGAAGGGAGGGGATGCAGCATCAAGGCAGTGCCWTCTCTTTCTGCTAGGACAGGGCTCTTTTGGGATGCTGGCATGTTAAACATGCAACCGCCCCCCGTTCCCAGAAAACATTTTTACATTTTCACCCATCTACCTGTGCATGCCAGTCTGTAGTTATAGAACAATGGAAGTGTCCCTTCCAAAGATGCCAAGATGAAGTATTCAGTACACTCAAGTCATACTTCAACTGAACTCACCTGCCAGGGCCTTTCATTGTGAGTGCTATGACYACTTGTCAGCGTGAGAGTGCTGCAGGCAGCCTGAAGGCTCCCAGACCATGTCACGGCTCTGTCACACCCAAATCAGCTCTTGGTTCCAACAGAGGCCACCCGTGCGGAGCACCACTAACGGCGGAGACAATTCCCTAATGACCCAACCTCCCTGGCACTGTACTCAGCCATCGCATGGCAGTGATGCTATAAGCAGTAAGGCAATAATCAAAGCACAGGCCATAACGAGGCCATAACGTCAAACAGGACAGCCCYGCAGCAAGCGATGCTTCTCGAACTTCCTCATCTCTTCTCCTAGCCCGAGCTCCCCGGGCCCTGTCCYGCCGGGTCCCCCTGGCCCGGTGCGCACTCACCTGATGGCAGCGGACGGAAGCCGCGCACCGTGTTGCCCCGGCGGAGCGAGGGCCCGGCAGCTGCCGGCGGCTCCCGGCCCCCGCGGTACTGCTCGTAGAGCCGCAGCATGTGCTCCGCCACTCTGTCCGCCGCCGGGCGCCCGGGCCGCCGCTGACCCGGGCTCTCGTCACCTGCGGGCGCGCGGGCGCGGCTCCCCCGCACGGCCCCCGGAGCCGCCCGGCGCCGCAGCCCCAGCCGTCGCGGCCGCGGCGCGTCCCCCAGAACCAGGCACAGGCAGCCCCAGCCCAGGCACAGGCACAGCACCCAGCGGGCCGACGCCGCCATCCTGCCCCTCCGCTCCGGCGGCGCCCGAGGCCCCTCGGCGCAGCGGGGCCAGCCCGGGGCTGCACGGAAAGTTCGCACGGGGCGTCCCCGCTTACGGGCAAGGAAAAAACGGGGGCAAAGAAAAAAAGAGGAGAAGGGAAAAAAATGGAAAAGAAGCGGGGCGGAGGAAAGGTCCACGGTCGGGACCGCCCTCCCTTCCCGGCGGGGAGCGACGGGTTTTATTCCCGGCCGTGCAGGTTGCTGTCGCGGCAGACGCGGCGGTGCTGCTCCCGGGCACGGCCGCCTTTCGCTGCCCGCTCCCGCTCCGCGGCCGGGAGGGAGCCGCCCGGTGAGTGCGGAACTCCGGCGATCGCCTCGACAGCCCTCGCTCCGGCGGGGCAGAAGTGCTGGGAATCGCCACCCCGGAGAAGCGCGGCCACGGCACGGAAGGGAGGGGATGCTCGCTAAACTCCATCCCCCTGGGCGGACAGCGATCGAGGCGGAGGACGGTCCCCTGCCCGCCTCTACCCAGCCCCTCCCAAAGGCCGTGCAATGACATGATCGCATTAAAAAAATTATTAAAAAAATAAAAAAAAAATCACGAGTGGCAGGGCACTCACCAGTCTCCCCTGGAACATGGCAAGGCTTGGCTGCGAGTGGAGCCCAGTCCACCGCGGGCAGATGGAAGGGACTGAGATCTAGGATGTTCCCCGAACTGTGCTGGGGTTCTGCCTGCCCCTCCTGAGTGCCAGCCACGCTCAGTGACCCTCGGCCTCCTCACGCCCGGTCRGGACTGGCACAGGTGCCCTCAGCCGCCTGGAGCCCGTGGGAAGGGTCGTGCACCCACACAAATCCTCCTGCACTACAGCAGGACACAGCAAGGTGGGCGTTCCTTGCTCGGCTCAAACAATTCCATGGGCCTCTCACATTTGCTGCTTTTCAGCACCAAAAAGACAGAAATGTCTCAGCCCTGCTCGCCAGTGCCACATCAGCACACAACAGCCCAGCACACATTGCACCGTTCCCAACAAAATCTGCTCTGCAACACAAAAGGTGCCTCATCTGTACATCGGGCAGGGAACGCACGGGAGGGGGAACAGGAGCCTCGCTGCAGTGTCACAGTTGATCAAGGTGTTGGTTCCTAAGAGCGGCTCAGTTTCTGACGTGAAGAAGGGAGACCAAAAGATTGGCCTGCAGATGAGTACACGGAGCGTTTTCAGCACAGGGCATTCGGATTTTCCACGAGCAACAGAAAGTGTATCATTAGCCAGCCCTGAATACAACACTGGGACACAGTGGRTATTGCCTCTCCTGTTACCGATTTTAGGATTGGCAGCATGGATTGGTACACAGTTGCTATAAGCCCCATCTGTAAGTACCAGCACAAGTGCCCACCGGCAGGCAGCGAGCAAAGAGAAGATTCTCAACAGGAGTGCAATGATTTTGATATGCTCCCACACTCGAGGGCTCAGACACAACCCCCGGCAGTGACTGATCTGCAAGCAGCCCTGAGGCACCGAATCTGCCATGTTCATCTCACAATACCATCCATAAACGTGCAAGCACACACCGTGTCAGTATCAATGCTCACATCACCATTACCTCCACTTTGCACTTCTCCAGGTAAGAAACACACAGGAGTGCAATGTAAAAACTATCAGTAAAAGTGAACATAATTTATAAGTTCATCATTAAAACATTAAAGTATGATTGCTTTATTGGACACAAGTAATAAAACCAATGTGGATTCACGTGGAAATAAAACAAAAATATTTAAACTGCTAGCTAAAAAATTCATCAAGAGCAGCAGTGGCTGCTGGCTTATATCCATGGCAGAACTGTCAATCCCAAAGAAGAATCTTTATGCGACTGAGAACTACCATTTCAGTTTCAGTAATGTTATTTCCTACTGTTGAAAAAAGCAGTATTTAAAAAAACCCAAGCAATAACACGCCACAAGTCCTTAACTAAAAACTGGCATAATTGAATCCTGTCCTGTGCCTACAGTGCCAAGAGATTTGTTGAAAGAAGGGGATCTTTTTTATATCTCCAACACATCCTCTGAGCCGCTTCCTGACTCTTATGATCAGATCACTGTAAATCAAGAATTGAGTTTTAAAAAAAACAAAATAAACCCTCAGAGATACCCCTGTGCGTATCTGTAACACCATTCTCAAGCAAAGGGGGATTAGACAAGAACTACTTTAAGTTCATTGTGGAAGCTCAAGCATCCTATGGCTGAGCTTTTATTTAAAATCTTTTAAGTGTTAGCAGAGAGGCTGTTTATGCAAAATTACATTCAAATTTGGCTCCTAGAACTTCATCCCACCACTCAATTACAGCTAAGTGTCTAAAACAGAAAGGTAGCCCTGGACAATCCTGTTACAGCCAGCACAGAGAGGGAAAGAGAACACTGGGTGTGAAAGAAAAAAGYGACTTCTTGGGGCATGAGGAGCCTTTCCCAAATCCCCGTCTTCAAACAGCTGCGCAGTTCTCTGACCATGCCACGCAGACACACGCTGGGTTTAAAAACCCCTCACTTTATGGATTGCCCCGGTGACACGTCAGGACACTCATTACACAGAGTTCTGCAGCTGCCAAAGTTTACAAATGTCCCCCATTCCAGAGATATTTACATGGCAGAGACTTGTGAGAACACAAACCAAACCAGGGCATGTAGGGAGCCCCTCTCCAGAGCTGACAAACTCGCACCTGACCTCTACAGGAACAGCACTTCCACCTTTTCTGCTGTTCCTTTTCTGCTTCTTCCACACAAGTGCCGCAACACCTACCACACACATCATCCCCTCCATGTACAGCATAACCCCAGGCTCCATGGGACCTCAGCAGCTCCATCCTGATCACCACAGTGTACAGTCTGTAAAACAACCTGGCCTTTTAATTCCTTACCCCTGGCACACAGCAGGCTTGAATCCAAATGAAGTTTATTTCAACGGTGAGCAAGTCCTATGCCATTGTAAGGGGCAGCCTCACCACCCTCCAGCAGCCCCTTCAAAAAGAGGCTATTTGAAACCTCCACCAAACACTTCAAGGTTTTCACTTTTTCAGAGCTCACCACAGAACGCACAACCAAGTGATTGCAGTTATTTGTTCCCTCCACACAAGCACTCGGAAGTCTCAGGGAAGAAGAAACCACAAATACTCCTTCTGGGGGAAATTAAATAATTCCATATTTGCATAACAAAATGCTATTAGCACAATGTGTTCGGCATGCGAAGGCCAACACCACACTGGTGCTGTTTGTTGCGTGGCTCTCAGCTGCTGCAGAGTTCCCTCAACAAAGCAATCCCGGCTGCTGCGGCTCCCCCATGCAGCTCTGCTGGCTGTCATTGCACAATTCCCTGCTGCAGCTCCGCCCCGGCCGCCTGCACTGCCCTCTGTACATCTGCTGGGCTGTGCCACATGGGCCTCTGTGTGCGCTGCCAGCGCTGGGCTCCCGACACCGAACTCTGAGCAGCGACACCAGCTCTGCCCCAGCGCCGCGTCCCCAGCCCCGCAAGGTCACAAGGTCACCACACTCCTATGAGGACCCAAACCTCGGTTAAGGGGAGCCATCCCGCAGCCAGAGACCTTCCTTGTCCCTCCTGCCCTGGCTCAGGCTGCCCTGCAGGACGGCTGCACTCTGGTGGGCATCACTTCATCAGCTATGAATGAGAACACTGAGCAGCACGGCACGATCCAGCAATGGCTGAACTGTGCTCTGTGATCCAGCAATGCTTGAACCACGCTCCCTGCTCAGCAATGCTCAGAACCACACTCCCTGTCAGCAATACTGGAACCACGCTCCGTGGACTGCAACTGGCCAAGCCACCTCTGCCATTATAGGGAAGGAGCCGGCGCACGCTCCGTGGAATGTTCTCGCTCATGGCCCCAGGGACAAACAAAGAGCACAGCCTTTCATGAGGCAGGCCAAAGTGGGAAGCCCAAAGCAACCCCCCTTGCGTGCAGCCATTCCCTGGATTCCCAGGGCTGGCTTTTCAAGGCTCGACAGCTAGGCTGCTGTTTGCTCAGGTGGCCAGCGGCAGCCTTGCCCCCAGAGGASCCTTCCAGCAGCATTTCTTGTCTCGGGCCCCAGCATCACAAGTTTCTCTCATCACAGAGAACCTGTGCTGCAGGAGCTGTACCAACTGTGCCAGGAGTTCTGAAATAAAACACCTTGAGTGAACAACAGCCAAACAACAGGAGCGATGCTGTCCTTCCGTGCAAAGCCACGTTCTACAATCACAGCTCATCCACGTGGCCACAGTCGGTTCAGCACCTGTGTTTTTGTTTCCTTTGCGGTGGGAACTGTGGCTTGGCCTGCACAGCCTGTCCCTGCCTGCTTCACAGAGAACTGCCCAAAGGTTTTAGTCATATGTGATCTCAATTCCATATGTGGGGAAACAGACCATCACAACAACAGACCCTAATGTTGTTGCAAGACCAAAGATCCAGACTCCACATAAAAAGAACAAAATTATGATTTTGGTCGGGTGCTGAAGAAATATAAAAGAATTGAAAACATATACAGGCTAATGCAACCTGCAGACCCTAACCAATGCACACAGTTAAGATGCACTGGAAAAACATGCACAACTCTCCCCACCGGTACAAAATCTAGATTTTCAGGGATCCACTTGCCCATCAATGCCCAAAACCACGGGCACTGTGCAAACTCTGTACCTGCAGTAGATGTCACAATCGGTGATAATAACAGATTCTCCTTTAAGAAAAAAATGGARATACTTCCATGCACCTTAAGTTTACAGCAAGAAGTGTCTTGGACTGGACAGTTTGCATTTGTTTCTGCTAAAAAGCCACAGGACCTAAGAATATACACAGGAGGCTTTCATGTGGTTGTCAGTCCTTGGAACGCTTCTCTCTTGCTGCCCGTGTATTTGGTATGTCCACTTCACTGCTGTCTGCTCAGGGCTGAACAGCGATGAGATGCTGGGAACAACACCAGGGACCTTCCAGGGAAATGCAGGGTAACATCACTGACCTGCCTGCCTAAGAAAATCAACCTTGCCTTTAGAACCACCCTGCAAGCCAGACCAGAAGAGCTTGGGGACAGATTTCTACTGAGGACAGAGAGCTGCCACCAGTAAATATTGGCACAGAATAACAGGACATAACCTGGGAGCATTTGTGGCAACGCTCGGGGGTCCTTGACTTGGGATGTCACAAGGGACACAGAGAAGGCAGAGGGGTTTCCTGAGCAACCAGCAATCCCAGGAACTGCTGCTGATTACCATATTCCTTCACTGCAGAGATCACRGCTCACGTTGTCTCAAACTGTGTTCACTGTCCAAGCCAGCAATGATCAGTCCGATTTTTAAAGGTCAGGTGCTGCGCCAAGGTGACCTGGAGAAGCATCCCAGTCTGCTTTTATAAAGCGGGGTGTCCTTCCAAGCCAGTGCAGCAGCAAACTCAGCGTGACTGCCACCACATTAACTGGGGCTGATGAAGCATCTTTGACATGACCAGTG